TCTTCTTTTGAGTGCTGATTGTCATTCTTGGCATTTCGTGGGGAGTAGTTAATTTCTTTTATTCACAATTTCTAGTCACTTTTTATGAATTCTCTGTTAATTCTGTGTGTATTACATTTATGTTGCAAATATTTCCTTCTAGTCTTTTTGGTCTGTGTAACTTTGTTAATGGTGTCTTTTATTGGACCCAAGCATTTCATCTTTATGAGGTTAAGTCGTTTGATCTTTTCTTTTATAGCTTCCATTTAGTTTGGTTTCTTTTCTTTCTTTCCTTGTATCAGCTTTATGTTTCTCCCTCCCTAAGATTAAATTAATATTTTCTTTGAATGCTTTTGTGGGCATTATTTTTTCCATTGGGTGTTTCTTTAATCTATCTGCTTTAATGTTTATTTATGACTGTTTTGAGGTAGTGATTTACTTTTTTATTTTTTTCCCTAAATAATTACCAAATATACTAAGTTCCAGTAAATTCTTCACAGATATAAAACACCTTTTTAACCATTTCACAACCAAGTTGAATTTTTTGTTGATGCTGTGTGTTTTGAGTAATGGAAGACATGCTAAAATCAAGGGGAAATAAATTTTTGTGAGCAAGTGTGAGTTTTGATCCACTTAATGGAACACTTAATGTCTCATGTGCTCTGGTTCTAAAATTGGTGAGGTGAGTCCTGTTTCTTCACATTAGAACTGTTAAGCCGGTTCCCACCAGGCAGTACACATACTACACCTGGGATAAGTAACATTTCAAGTCAATTTTCCTGGGGCTGAAATTGTTGGTGGGTGAGATACATCCCATGGGTCACAGAAGGACTGGGCAATAGCAGAGTTTTCCTAGATGTACAGTACACAAGTCATTTTTTGTACTGTTCAGGATCAGCACTAGACTGTGCACCACAAGGTCAGCAGTTCAAACTCACCAGTCACTCCATGCAAACCCTATACAGGGTCACTATGAGTCGGAACCAACTCGACAGCAGTTAACAACAACCACCTGATGTTGTATTTTTCCCAAATTTTCATAGTCACTTTTCTGTTTCACTTGAACTTTTATCTGAGCTTTCCCAATTCTAGTCTGAAAAATACCTGTGAGGGTTTTAATGGAATCGTATTTATGGATTATTTTAGGAAATTTGAATCTGTGCAATATTAAGTCATTACCAACAGATTGCTTTTGATGTTCTTTAATAAAATATTCATCATATAGCTTACATGGGTCCTGAATCCTGTACCACTCCTTTCATAATTGTCAAAACTCTTTTGCTTCTGCAGGAAAATAGAAATAGAACTACAATAGAAATAATTTCCTTAATTACATTCTTGACTACCTCCTTAGTTCTTCAGAGTGACTAGAGTGGTATTTTTGAAGTGTATATCTAATCATGTTTTTTTTCATTGTTAAAACTGTCCAGTGGCTGCTTCAAAAATCATCCAAACTTCTTATCAAGACTTGAAAATCCTTTTGTAGTTTGACTTCTGCTTACCCACCATCTGTCTTTATCCTGTACTTGGAGTCCTACTGTGGTACTGTAGGATAAGCAATGGACTACTAACCACCAGATTAGGGGTTCAAACCACCAGCTACTCCTTGGAAACCCTATACAGGGCTGCTAAGAGTCAGAACTGACTTGACAGCACTTAACAGCAACAACTACAGTACATATATTTGGAGCTGAGGCTTTCTTTGGTTTACTTTTCTGTAGATAAGATTTCCCATAGTCTCGTCTCTATCTTAAATAAATACCTCAGTATTTGTATGTTCTTTGTTTTCCTGTGTATTATACATTTGTTGTTTTCGTATGTGCATGGGATTATCATTGTTACTTTGATGTTTTCATTTTATGGTGTGTTGTTGTTGTTGTTGTGATGTGCCGTGGAGTCGGTTCCGACTCATATGGTGTGTATATATGTTATATATGTGGTGCTTATGTGTGTATGGTGGTGGTGTGCTGCGGAGTCAGTTCCGACTCATAGTGACCCCGTACAGGGTTTCTGATGCTGTAAATCTTTACGGGAGCAGAAAGCCTCATCTTTCCTCCATTGGAATGGCTGGTAGTTTCAAATTGCTGACCTTGAGGTTAGCAGCCCGACTCGTAGCCCCTATGCTACGAGTAATATAAATATACTAGTCTAGACATTCAATTAGCAATAATCATGCCTCGGATAAACCTCATTGGCTACAATATTGCCCCTGCAATAAAGATTTACAGCCTCGGAAACCCTGTACAGGGTCGCTATGAGTCGGAACCGACTCCACGGCACATACAACAACAGTCTAGACATTGGTTTAAAATTATGAAATAGATGGTGCAGTATGTAATTGTAACACTAGGTGGTGTGGTGGTAATTGATTTTAGAAATTAGACTATGACAATGTTTTTCAGCATACATATTCTTTGAACATAAAAATATTTAATGCTGCATGCACTTCAGATAGGAAGAAGAGGGTAAAATTTCAAGGTTAGAGGGTATCCATCGCTACATACAATGTTGCTTCAGAAAGCTCCAAGGGAAGTCGAATGAAGAGATAATGCAGTTTTTCTCCAAACTTTTTGACGCTCCTTCATACTTGTGCTGCTAACCCCTATTCTCTCCTGTGAATACTTTAAGCCAATGATTCTCCAACTTTTGTGGTCTTTATGCCCTTTATACTCTTGAAAATAATTAATGATCCCTAAGAACTTTTGCTTATGTGTGTTACGTGCAATTAATGATCAATATTGTATTATGGATGTGCTGTGGGTGAATGCGCCAGACTGCAAAACCATTTGAACTGCAAGGTCAGCGGTTCAAGCTCACCAGTCACTCCTCAGAAACCCTATACAGGATCACTATGGGTCAGAACTGACTCAACGGCACTTAACAACAACAAAAATACAAAAGTATTAATTTGTATAAAAGTACCAATAATACACCCATTACTTGTTAGCATAAACATTTTTATGAAAAAATAGCTTTCTGAAACAAACCAGAAAAAAAAAAAAACCTTGATGACTCAACTTGTAGTGACTCAACTTGTACTGCCTGTTATTGTGTGCTGTTGAATTCATTTCTGCTCAGAGTGACTCTGTCAGAAAGAGTTGAACTGCTCATGTTTCCTAGGCTCCACATCTTTAGATCTTTTCTCCCAGTGAGCCACTCGTGGGATTGAACTGCTCATCTTCTGATCAGCAGTCCAGTGCTTTACCGTTGCACTCCAGAGTTCCTTGGCTCGTTAGGGTTATACCTAAAAAATTTGAAAGCTGCAGCACATATACTTGTTGTTGTTGCTAAGTACTGTACAGTCAGTTCCAACTCATAGCAACCCTGCATAGGGTTTCTGAGGCTGTAAATCTTTATGGGAGCAGAAAGCCTCCTCTTTCTCCTGGGAAACGGCTCGTAGTTTCGAACTGCTGACCTTAAGGTTAGCAGCCCAATTTGTAACCACTATGCTACCAGAGTTCCTTGTAGGTCAGTGTTTATTGTAGCATTATTTACAATAGCTAATAGGTGGAAATTAACAGAGGAATGGATAAACAAATGTGATGCAATAATACAGTGAAATACTTTTGAGCCGTAAAGGAAAATGAAATTCTGAGACATGCTATGCTATGAATGAGCCTTGAAGATATGCTAAGGATAAATGCTGTAAACTCCAATGTATGTGAAGTATTTAGCATAAACAAATGTATAGACTTAGGTGGGAGTGGTTACTGAGTTTCTTTTGGGGGCGGTGTCAGATTTTTGAATACTGGTGGTAGTAGCCGAGTCTGGTGAATGTGATTAATGTCACCAAATTGTACACTTAATAAATGTTAAAATGGCAAGCTTTTTGTTATATACTTACTACATTAAGAATAGTGTTGTTTTAACTTTAATGACTTGCTAATTACTAGACAGCTGGATTCTCATATCTGCTTATACATTCAGATATTTTATGATATAGCACATCATTTAGCCTCTGGAAAAGCCTATATTCGTGAGAGAGTAAGAGTAAAAATTGTAATTGGTATCTTAGTTTGATCTTGTATAGTCCTTAAAAGGCTGTTATGGACCCCTAATAACCCCATGCCACAATTTGAGAACCTTTGCTCTAACCCATCTTGTTTCTCTAAGAAGCTAGTGACAAAATACAAATATGGGTACTTATATTACTTCTGAATTTGTAAATCCAAAAAGTTAAATGACCAGTTCTTGACTTTTATTATGTAAAAATTGTACTTAAGAATAAATAGTAAAGTATTTATGACAAAAACGAGTTGATAAGAAAAGCAAAATAAAAATATGGACAAAAAAAATGCCTAGTGTGTTTATTTGTTGTTGTTAACTGCCAGCAAGTCGATTACAACTCATAGCAACCCTATGCAGAGTTTCCAAAGAGTGGCTGCTGAGTTTAAATTGTCATCCTTTTGGTCATCAGTGCTACACGTGGACACAGTCATGAACCATGCTATTCCTGAGCCTACATCTTCTTAATTCTTTCTTTCAATTCATAGCTTTTTAACAGAATTCCCAGGCTAAAAACTTCTAATGAAGCTTTGACGGATTGTTTGCACCTCAAATATATTGAGGTGCAATGCCTGTGTTTAATTATAAGCAAAGGATCATAACAAATATTTAGGTTTTAAGTATTTTGCAGATTTATTCACTGTAAACTGACAATAAATCTTAGAAATTATGATGACCATATCCATTTGTGTTTCTAATTCAAGTTAGCCATTTTGTGTGTACCCTTTTAGTTTTGAATTTCCAGGAAAATTTACCTTATTTTAAAAGATATTTAATAGAAAGTTCTATAAATGCATTGAATGTGCCTCAATAGTGTCACATTTACCTGCCACAAACTTGATCTTATGATTAATCTAATATTGCTAATTTGATGTTAATTCACAAAAATGTAGTTTTGAATATAAATAAATGTTACTAATTTGGATATATGTATATATGCATTTATGCAAAAGTATTTTCCAGATTCGCATATACTAGAATACCATGCTAACTTTTTTTTTTTTTTTTTTAAACAGAACTTCTTGGTATACATAAACAATCAGCTATAGGCTTCTTAACATTAATGGAGGCTTTAAGATACTGTAAGGTAAGTTTATATTTAAGGTGCTTCGGATGTTTCTTTAGTCATATGCCCACTGTTTTCGATACAGTATCTCTGTTTCTATGTTAGCGCATTTTAGTTTATTATATATTATTATTCCTTCCTGATCTCTCAACCCAAAATGGCAGTGTTAGTAATGATAATATTGAGCTGACTGATCATACAGAGTTTCTTATGCTATATTTAGTTTTCGTGTGTGTTTGTTTTTGGGTAGTTTGGATTTTTAGAGGGGGGGAACAAAACTTAGCACAAAGTAATATATAAAAATAGAAAAACGGTTTACTGAATATAAATATATTTTATGGTATACTAAGTTGGAAAAAATATACTGTTTCTTCTTCATGATCTACCAGAGTATACTTCACTCAAAAAACTGATAATACTTTATTAGACACAGAAAAAAAATTTGCTATGTTACTGAAATTCTAACTTTCCAAGTTAAACTCTTTACCACATGTGCTAAGGGTAAGAACTGCCATGAAACACTCATTTATGGCTGTACATTATATTGTCTTTCCTAAACAATCGGAAATAACCATTGAATATCCCAACTCGTTTTAAATGGAATTTGAATCATTCATGGCTTGCATTTAATAAAGTGTCATCATGATTTGTGTGAAAGAAAGAAGTAGATGGACTATTCATTTCCATTTTTGAGTGGTGCTGGTTGTGGTGGTGATGTTTATTTTTAATACAGCAATTGTATCCTGCTCTTTCTTTTTTTTGTCAGAAATTCTTCCCCTTTCATAGTAATACTGAGACAAAGTAGATGAATGTATGAAATAGGATTCGTCCTGCTCTCAGTCATTGTTGTTGTTGTTAGGTGCCATCTGATTTACAGAAACTCTATGAACAACAGAATGAAACACTGCTAGGTCCTACACCAGCCTCACAATTTTTAGGCATGAGCCCATTGCTGCTACATCTGTGCCAATCCATCTTGTTGGGGTTTCCCTCTTTTCCACTGACGCTTCACTTTACCAAACATGATGTCCTTTTCTTGGGTCTGGTCCCCCCTGATAATATGTCCCAAGTATGAGAGACAAAGTCTGGCCACTTTGGCATCTAAGGAGCATTATGATAATACCTGTTCCTACATAGATTTGTTTATTTTTCTGGCAATGCATTGTACTTTTAGTGTTCTTCTCCAACACCATAATTCACATGCATCAATTCTTTTGCAGTTTTCCCTAAGCGTTGTTCAACTTTCACATGCATATGAGGCTATTGAAAATACCATGGCTTGGGTCAGGTACACCTTAGTCCTCAAACTGATATCTTTGCTCTTTGACACTTTAAAAGAGGTCTTTTGCATCAGATTAGCCTAATGCAATGATGCTTGGTTTCTTGACTCCTGCTACCATAAATGTTGATTGTAGATCCAAGTAAAATGAAGTCTTTGATAACTTCAGTCTTTGCTCCATTAATCATGATGTTATTTATTGGTCCAGTTTTGAGGATGTCTGTTTTCTTTACATTGAGGTGCAATCTGTACTCAAGGCTTGTGGTCTTTGATCTTTATCAATAAGTATTTTAAGTCCTTTTCACTTTCAGCAAGCAAGGTTGTATCATCTGCATATCTCAGGTTGTTAATGAGTCTTCAACCATTCCTGATGCCATACTCTTCTTCATATAATCTAGTTTCTCGGATTATTTGTTCAGCACACAGATTGAATAAATACGGTGAAAGAATACAGCCCTGGCCCACATCTTTCCTGATTTTAAACCATTAAGTATCCGTTGGTTCTGACCTAACAACTGCCTCTTGGTCTGTGTATAAGTTCCTGTTGAACAAATCAAATGTTCTGGAATACCTGTTAGTTGTAATGTTATCCATAGCTTGCCATGATCCATACAGTTGAAAGCCTTTGCATAGTCAGTAAACCACATGTAAGCATCTTTCTGGTATTCTCTGCTTTCAAACAAGATCCATCTGATAGCAGCAATGCTATACCTAGTTATATGTCCTGTTCTGATTCTGGTTTGACTTTCTGGCAGTTCCATGTTAATGTACTGTTGTAGCCATTTTTTGAATTATCTTCAGCAGAATTTTACTTGCATGTTACATTAATGATATTGTTGAATGATTTCCGCATTCCATTGGGTCACCTCTCTTTGGAATGGGCACAATTATGAATCTCTTCCAGTCAGTTCACCAGATTGTTGTTTTCCAAATTTCTTGGCATAGATGAGTGAGTGCCTCTAGTTTGTTGAAAGTGCCTCCGGTTTGTTAAAAGATTTTGATTTGTATTCTCTCAATTATTGAATACTTGTTTTTTTACCAATATCTTTAGTGCAGCTTGGACTTCTTTTTTTAATTACTGTTAGTTCTTGACCATATGTTACCTCTTGAAATGGTTGAACATCGACCATATCTTTTTTACTACTGTAACTTCCATCTTCTCTGATGCTTTCTGTATCATTAAATATTTTGCCCATAGAATCCTTCAGTATTTCAAATTGAGGCTTGAATTTTTTCTTCAGTTCTTTCAGCCTGAGAAATGCAGAGCTTGCTCTTCTTTTTGTTTTTTGTTTTTTTAACTCTAGGTCTGTGCACATTTCATATGATAATTGACTTTCTTCTTGAGTTGTACTTTGAAATTTTCTGTTCAGCTTTTTTGCCTCCTCATTTCTTCCGTTTGCTTTAACATCTCTACACTGGGAAACAAGTTTCAGAGTCTCTTTTGACATCTATATTGGTCTTTCCTGTCTTTTTAATGACCTTTTGTTTTCTTCCTGTATGATGTTCTTCATGTCATCCTACGGTCTTTCTGGTCTTCGTCATTAGCGTCTAATGCTTCAAATCTTTTCTTAAGAGGGTCTCTGTATCTAATTGGGATATGTTCAGGGTCAGATTTTTTCTCTCATGGACTTGTTTCAGTTTTCTTCACCTTTAGCCTGAACTTGCATATTAGCAATTGACAGTCTGTTCTACAGTAAACCCCTGGCTGATGATATTAAGCTTTTCCACTGTTTCTTCCCACATATGTAGTCAGTTTGATTCTTGTATATTTCATCTGGTGAAGTCCACATGTAAAGTCACCTTTAACGTTTTTTAAAAAAAGTTATTTATAATGAGTAAATCATTGTTCTTTCAGAAATCCATCATGCTATTTATAACTACTGATTCTTCTTCTGTGTTTCCAACCTTTTCATTCCAATCACCAGTTATTATCAGTATACAGTATACATCTTATTTTTAATGTTTTTCTTATGGATTGAGTGAAAGTTTACAGAACAGATCATCAGTTTTACATTCAACAAATCATACACCTTGTTTCATTACAATGATTATAATCCCCTTCATGTACCATCAGTTAACAATATTTCTCTCTAGTCACTTTAGCTTTTTTTTAAAAACAAAACAAAACACTCAGGCATATATAATAATTCACATCTCCAAAGGGCATGT